GTCTCGCCAAGTTGTCCAGGTGGGTCTCGAACCCACGGGCTCAGGCAATTCACTCACCTCGGCCTCCCAAAGCGCGCGATTACAGGCTGAGCCACCGAGCCCGGCGACTTTTTTCTTTTTAAAGAAACATGATCTCAGGCCAGACATGGTGGCCCAAACCTATGTTCCCAGCACTTTGAGAGGCCAAGGTGGGAGGATCACTTGAGGCCAGGAGTTGGAGACCAGCTTGGGCAACATATCAAGATGCTATCTCTAAAAAATAAAATAAAGAGCATTATATCAAGTTAAGTTAAAACAGGCCAGGCACAGTGGTTCACACATAAAATCCCAGCACTTTGGGAGGCCGAGATGAGAGGACTGCGTCAACCCGCAGATGTAAGAACACTCTGGGCAACTTGGTGAGACTACATCTCTACAATAAATCCAAAAATTAGGAGGGCATGATGGCGCATGCCTGCAGTTCCAGCCTACTTGGAAGGCTGAGGCAGAAGGATCACCTGAGCCCAACTGGTTGAGGCTACAGTGGCCAGGAGCGTACCACTGTTCTCCAGCCTGGGCAAGAGAGTGAGACTCCAACTGAATAAAAAAATTTTTTTTAAACAAAAACAAAAATGTGATCTTACTAAGTTGCCCAGGCTGGATTCAAACTCCTGAACTCAGGCAATCTTCCCACCACGCCTCCCCAGGAAACTGGGATTACAGGCATGTGCCACCATGTGGGGGTGGGGGCAACTCTTTCCTTGATCAAATTAGCCAGGTTCCGTTGAGCCCTTCTCCACAGGCCTCAGCCTTGGCCCCAGTCCAGTCTTTGGCCTACCTTGCCCAGTTTTATCAAGAACTTTGGATGGCCGAGGCAAGTTTCAGGGTCTGAGTCCTGGGGTTCGAGACCAGCCTGGGCAATTTGGCAAGACCTTGTTTCTACGATAAATCAAAAAAATTAGCTGGGTATGGCGGTGCGTGCCTATGGTTCCAGCTATTTAGAAGGTTGAGGTGGAAGGATCATCTGAGCCCAGCAGGTCAAGGCTGCGGTGGCCATAAGCATGCCACTGCACTCCAGCCTGGGCAACAGAGTGAGACTCCAATTCAAAAAAAAAGGAATTCTGCTAAATCAGTTTAGAGAGAATCTTCTACTCTTGATATCTGATCGCCCTCGATATATGGTCAGATTCTTCTCCCCACCCCCTTGCTAAGTCCTTGACCTGCAAGAACCCTGCCAAATCGTTGAAGCAAGAATTTGCCCTTCCCCTGATGTGCACCTTCTTAATTTTTCATCCACTCACACCTCTCTCTTTTTGAGAGAGGCCATATATCTCTAGCTGTCTTGGCTGTATTTAGAGTTAAGCCCTATTGCAATGGTCTTATTGCAATAATCCTAAATAAAGTCAGAATGACTTTTTTCTTTAAGATGAACCCAAGGAAAAAGCAGAATTTATAAAATGAATCCATAATAGGCCAGGAGCGGTGGCTCACACCTGTAATCCCAGCACTTTGGGAGGCTGAGGCAGGAGGATCATTTGAGCCCAGGAATTTGAGACTAGCTTAGGCAACATAGTGAGACCTCAAAAAGAGAGGCCATAAATCAAAAAATGAGCCGGGCGTGGTAGCGCGTGCCTGTAGTTCCACCTACTTGGAAGGCTGAGGCGGAAGGA